ATTCTTCATACATCTACGTATATTTTATTTTGTTTATAGTTTATCGTGAAAATTGTTTCGCTAGTAAATCTTTAAGTAACAATTTGAGAAAGTATTTTCAAAAATACATTCATTTGCTTCTCAACTTGCTCGACCTCTCTGACATTTTGTCACCGAGGCGAATTTAACATTTGATTTCACTATATTTTTTATATATTTTAATGACTTCATGTATACTTCCTTCCTAATACTGTGACTATATTATATGTAAGAACAATTTTCGTATTATTAGTTTATCTTATATAAATTATCGGATTTCCTGGTGGAGCTTGACACTACATTGGACACTAATGAATTTTATTAATCAAAATAACGTTATACGTACTTGCAAAGGAATTGCAATTGTATTTACATCATTATTATAGAAAATCAGGATATTCAAAAGTAGAATTATGTATTGAAACTATTTTTTTAATGATGATTTTAACTACTATTTGTTAACAAATAATTTACCAACAAACTTTTCTTGCTAATACGTTGATCTTTAATTTAACACCAAACACAAGATTCAGTCAGATTGAAAATTCTCTTTCTAGAAAACCAAAGCTTTTATAAATGTCAAATGTCGTACATTAAGATTATATTTACTTTACCATATCTACATTAAAGATTAATTTTTACCAGATGTTTCAATGAATCTTAGAGACTATTTAATTTGAAATCGAATTGAAAAATATCACATTGTCAATATGGATTACATACAGTTATTAAGTAGCAATCCAGTCGCGTCTACACGAAACAAAGTGAACACCTTAACTAAATACATAAACAATTTCCATTCCTAAATGTATAGTCGAATCCATCGATCGGTGACATCTTTTATTTCCTACCCAACAATCTACCAATATATTCTTCAAAATCATCGAAAAATCGAAACTAACCGGAATCTTAAAGGGTTAATACACTGTATAAATGCAACACCTACATTTTGTACATCCCCTTCACGCTCTAAACTTTACAAAACCGTTCTCAGCGATTTCAATGCAACCCAATAATCAGGTGATCAGTCCTTCATATCGTCCGGTGAATCGAAAAGCTTACAGAAAAATTGAAAACGAAATAAAAGAACAAAAATTCAATTCTCGTAATACAAGACAGAGATAGACAGAAACACGCGAGACAAATATCTGTCCCGCGGAGATGGTTCACCGGCCAATCGGTAAAATCGCGTTCGGTCGTTTCGGTTCGATCGTTCTTCCCCTCGAAAGGCACGAAAAAATCTTCAACCCCTCGCCTGTTTCCTTTAACTTAACGGTAAACGCTCGTATCCGCGTTTGCACATGTAGAAAAAGATTATTTCTTCCCTGGGGTGAAAATGTCTTTCGAATATGCATTATCATCCCCATTGCTAGCCAAAATATCAGCCGTTAAACAGGTTCGACAAGGATCCAAGGGTGCGATGGACAGGTAAGTGGAGGATGATGCGTGTGTTTCCATTTTTTTCCCATTATTTTTTTGTTAAAAAAGTTCACGGTAGAAAAAGTTGCTTCAAAAGCATTGCTGACGAATATATGCGGAGGGGACGAACGATACTCGCGCGGCTCCCGATCCGCCGGATGCAACCGATCCGCCATCGCAGCCACCTAACATCTACGAAGGAACAAAAGTCCGGGTACTCGATTATTTGGCACAGATTCAAACGGAATTTCTTCGTCCTCGACGAATGAGATTACAGATTTACAAATCGGTACTTGTGTATATGTTTACGTGTACGTGTATGTATATGTGTGTGGTTCGGTGTCGCTCGATAAAGCGTCGGAGAAAAAACCGATTTTTCTTTTTCCCTCGAAACGTGCATCCCGATGCGTGTTTAAATATTCAAGCATGCGTGTGTGTATCGTATTGCGTTACTCATGATACAGTGGCGTGGTGTACGTGCAAATTTG